AAATCTATTTACTTGAGTAAAGAGCAAAGCACAGATAAAATGGTGAACAAAATTAGATTCAGATTTATAATCAATCGTCACCGATTTTCTCGACGGACTGTTACAAGGAAATCACTTGTATACCTTTGCCTAATTCTTGTAGCAAGCAGTGAGGCGGAAACATATAAAAAGTCATACAGGTGACCAAGTTATTTTATCTGATCTTTTCTGCGTCAGATAGAGTATCGTCTTTAACGACCTATGCCATATCTTGAACGAATGTTTCGTGCGCCTTTGAATTCATCTTCTACAGAGCTATTTTGAACTCGTCACGTATCCCATACAAACATCTAGCCTCAACACCCCTCCCAAACTATGCTTTATGAAGTTTTGAGCATTTTCAAAAAAATGTTTTTTTCACCTTTGACCTTTGACCCTGACACAAACAGACAGACGAACAAACTTTTTTTTATATGACCCTCCTTTCAGTCGAGGGAATTAGATTTTTTTCTTTTCCAATTGGTTCAAGCTATCTACGCGGACAGAAGGTGATGCATAATTTATTCTTGCGATGAATGCTCTTTTTCTCGATTCCGCCTTATACAACAAATAACGCTACTATTTGAACGGTTCGATACACGACAGAGCTGACTTACGTTCTTTTCAGTCACTTAGTATTAACAATATAATAATTAGTCAAAATTTGAAATGAAACGAATAAAAGACTCTTTCTAATCCCTAGGCAAAATTCTCTAAAAGCATATTGCAAAAAAAGTATGCGTACTTTTTCGTTTTCGAGTAAACAAATAGATGATATGTTTATTTTAACCAAAACGAACAAATACTACACGCATATTTACTTTACATAAGTAAAGTGCCACCCCTGTGTGAAACATAAACAGTATACTTTTTCAAATAGATTTTTTGGTTTTAATGAAAGAAAAAACTATTAAAATTTCCATTGACTGAAGATCTGTATAAAACAGGAATCTAATCTAGGAAACAGAACACACTTAACACCATAATCATTTTCTCTATTTAATGAAAAAAAAGTTTTAATTGGAAAAGAATAGAATTTCAAATAAAAGTGTTCGTCAAATATATAATTACATTTGACATTTGGATAAATATTAGTACATTAGGAATAGAACTAGATTTAATAAATAAAAATACCGTGATCCCGCGTTCCGGGCTGTTTTTTCTCTTATTTTTATACCTTTCTAAACAGACGAATTACGACAGCATTGTCGTTGTCTTCTCTGGTCGAACATCTTGTAAGATCTTGGCTAGCGATAATTGAGATCTTGACTATAAGAATTTGCCTTTAATATAGTACTTTCTTTTATTTTCGTCATGTAAAATTAAACTTTATAAAAAAATATGTATTATTTCAAAAACTCTCATATCTGAGTTTCAAAACAAACCACATACACTAACACATACACAAGAGAACATGTACAAAAAAAATAAAAGAAAAAACAATAAAATAAGATAGAAAACGGTAAAGTCTTTGATAATTTTGAATTGGATTAACTTTCACCATCTATTTCAGAACTAGATGTAAACACGACGATCAATAAATCGTTTGATCGACTGCCTATTTATATCTAAAACAAAAATCAGATAGATGATGAACATCTGAAAAAACATAGTAAATTATCGTCGATAAACATGTATTAAATTAATTAACAATGTCTTTAAAATATTAGTCTTTATTTTCATTGGTCGATACACATGAGAACGATGAAAGAATTTTTTGACATATTTTTCTGATTTCGTATGATTTATGTAATCTTTTGAACAATTAGTTAGATTAATGATGTCGCTTTAGTCTATTCAAGATCTTGGTACAAGATATGTAAGACATGATCAAGATATACTTTTCCATTAAAAACAGTTTATCTGTTCCAAGGTTTCCATATCTTGCTTACAAGATGTTCGACTAGGGTTAGAATATCAAACTTGAAAACAATAAAATTGATATTAATGATTATTCTGCGTTTTTCTCTAACAATTTTACAATTAACTACGATAATATTTGAATTTTTTTGTTTATAATAACAGAAAAATATTCAATTAGAAAATATTTTCTTAAAGAAAAAAATATACTTCACTGAGCAGAAGAAACAAATTATTCAACATTTATATTATTATTTTTATATAAACAGATATTCATTTTCTTGCTTTTATTTACACATATTAGCGTTCATAGATATTAAAACTTTGATGGTAAGCATAACACATATTCTAATCATATTAAAGCGAAAACATATACAAATTCATTTCGTTAGGATGGGTGTGAATATACATGATGCTATACTTCTAACTCATACTGATCTTCTTCTCTTAGTTATGATACATTAAATTGAACTAAATGTTTGTTTCACAGTGATTCAGAAATACTTTTGAATGACTAGATGACATTACCTGTTAAATAGAACTCATTCATTCATGTAATCTGATGCGTTATTTAAAGTCTATTGTGGAATAACACGATAATAAAAGTGATTGTATATTAATCTGCATATTGACTTATTTAGAATCCGCAATCGTCGTTTGATATCGCTAGAAATATTATCATTGTGCAAGAACGAGTTTTGTCAAAAACAATTCAAAAGTCAATATCAGATTATCATCTTTATTATTCTATTAATAATAATAATTTTCATTTTAAGGGACAATTTCTTATCAAGACACAAAGCAAAATTTATCAGGATCATTATCTTTGTTATAACATTGGTAGTTTCGGCTATTATCGGATATTTTGTTTTCGCTCGTACTCCCATACAAAAATCAACAGCATCAACATCAACAACAGCACTAATAAATCTCACTACCAGTAAGTACACATTTCATATTTTGTCAAAGAAAAATGCACATGTGCATAAAAGCTCAATAATATAACCTTGTTATAAGACAAGATTTAATTTATTGTAACTGAAATAGAAATCACTACATCATTATCATCAACAAACAGCAGAGCAACAACAATATCGACTACTACTGGTAAATATGTTTAGATAAAAACTAAACTTCTCAAATAGATATATGTTTAGTTCGAACATCGACCATGAGTAGCAGTACTAGTTCAAGTTTGAATTCATCTAGTAAGTCATTTCATTAATTCTTGTATCAATATATTTATTAATTTAGATATTACCTGTCCATCATTACCTTTTAGTTCATATATATCATATTCAACTGGAACTGCACCATGGTCCATTAGTATCGCTGATTTAGATAATGATAATAAGAAAGATATAATTGTTCTTAATTCAAATGATGGAAATCTTGGAATATATTTTAATCAAGGAAATGGAACTTTTCAAATACCAATACTCGTTCAAACTAGTATTAATCCTGCATTTATTACATGTACTGATTTAAATAATGATAATATATCAGATTTAGTCGTAACTCAAACTTCAAGTAATAGTCTCGGTTTATTTCTTGGTTTTGGTAATAAAAACTTTAGTTCACGGATGAATATTCCAGTTGGTCTTTATCCATATTGGGTTGGTATTGCTGATTTTAATAAGGATAAGAATTTAGATCTTATCGCTACTAATTGTTATGAAAATACTGTCAGTATTTTATTTGGATACAGTAATGAAAGTTTTATAAGTGTCAACACTGCTGCAACAGGTAGTGGACCAACAGGATTAGCCATTGCTGATTTCAATTCTGATAATTATTCAGATTTTGTTGTTACTGATTATAATAGCAATACAGTAAGTTTATTTATTAATTATGGTAATGGAAGTTTTCAACAACGAGTATCTTATTCAACGGGAACCTCTCCATGGGGAATAGCTATTGCAGATTTCAATCATGATGATTCTATGGATATTGTTATTGTTAACTATGGTAGTAATACAATGAGTTTATTGTTGGGAAACGGAAATGGAACACTTCGATCACAAAAATCCTATTCAACTGGACAATATCCAATGTCAGTGGCTGTCGGTGATTTAAATAATGATACACATATTGATATTGTAGTCGCTAATTACTATAACAATTACTTAAGTGTTTTTCGTGGATACGGTGATGGAAATTTTACAACAGCTATGAGTTTAACAACAGATTGGTATGTCACATCGGTAGCTATTGCTGATTTAAATGGTGATGGTCGTTTAGATATAGCTGCAACTACTCAATACAGTAAAACTTTAAATATACTTTTCAATATATGTTAATTTTATAAGATTTAACTTTTATTTGCTTCATTTGAAATTTAAATAATGTCGAAAATACATTTTTATTTATTATACTCCAGAGGGAAAAAGCGAGATTTCATCTACTTAACAAAAAAATCTGATGTACAAGTACGAACTCTCGAAGTCCTACTATAGGGAGGTACCCTTGAGCCCTTATTGACTCTGATACTCAAGTGTATAATGTGGCATAGAAGACGTAACTGAGAATCTAGGTAAAGAAATTGATTGGATAGGTGTTTTAAAAATGCATACAATGGTCTATTTGAATTCTTTCTGAATTCACAAAAATAAAAACTATTTTATTTCTAAATGAAATCTCGATGTATGGTTCTTCATAATTATATATATATATCTATATATATTCTTATAAAAGTATATACCTTTGCACATACACATATCTCAGGGGTTTATGGGTCTTGGGATCTTGGGATCTACGGGTGAGGGTGTAGGAGAGGGTGATGAAGGTGAGAACTGATGGTTGCAAGGGGGAAATCTGATTGATGGAACCTTAATTAAATCCGGCTGATATATTTGATTTGTAAGAAATTCGTTATTTTCTGTTCATTGATTAGAAGTGTATAGATTTGTTAGTCCATCTAGTCCTGGTACTGAACATATATGGGATGGTCGTTTTTTTCAAAATTCAATGTGAAATATAAAAGACCATAGGCCCATATGCCCCAAGACCCATATACCCCCAAGACCCACCTACTGTATAGTTCACTCGAACTATACTATGACACTGCGTAACAAGAGACATAGAGTTGTGTTAGAAAGTCATGAACATTACTGTGCAAATACATATTAGTTGATATATAATTATTGAGTTTAACTTCAATTTCTCTCGACCCATATACCCAGGATTACATTATCGGTAGCGATGCTTCCTTCGATTTTGAATTCAGAAAGAATTCAAAAAGATCATAGAGTCTAAAAATGACTGGTTTAATTTTGGCTCAGTGGTTCCTTTCAGTCTTATATATATGTTTAAGAATGGTAATTAGAGGGTGTAAAGTTAGGCGAGACTGTATTTTAAACGGAGACGTTCATGAGATCCTTTTGGACATTATAGTTTTGTTTTCTCGACATTCAAACGATGAAAAAAGAGAAAGCAGTTGCCGTTGTTCATTTCCGAGTTGAACTGTGAGTGAGCGATATATCTTGAGAGCTAAGCTGGAAGGACTCGCCGTGAGTGATCGACCGACTAAAGGCTGATAATCTTATAGGAAAAATAATTAATAAATTCTATTTTTTCAATCCTTCAATTGCGGGTCGAGTGAGTTACCGCCAACGAGCATTATTTATTTTATTAATAACATATTTAAAAGAAGAAAATTATCGAATCAATATACGAACAACATCTATGTACATTCAAGAATAGTAGTAATATGTATCATATGTAGAACAAAAAGCATTAAGCCTTAATTAGATCACATTAAATTTAAAGATACAAATACAAACTCAGTGAAAACAAAGCAAATGAATTCTTTTACTATGATACGATCTATTAATATTTTAAGTTTATAAATTTTGTGGATTTGATTGATCAATGAATGAAATATTTGCTGTTTGTAATGGCACTATTGGAACAACTTTGACTTTTCTTTTCTGAATCGAAATTAATAATCTTATACAAAATTTAGAAATGACAAATTTAAGAGCAGTTACTAGACCACCAAGAAGACCAATAACTGTTGTAATTATATAAATCGCATCATTTCTAGTTTCATATGTATATCGACATTCATTTGGTTGACATTCAATGAAATATAGTTCATATAATATTGACCAATTCCATTTTTCAATCATTAATTGATTAAGTATAATTTCTAATGTTGTATAAGGTAAATATTGACTATCTAATGATGCATTAAGAGGTATTGGATTGATTATTATAGAAGAATTATTTGTAGGTTTTATCATATTTATACATGTTTCATCATAAAAACATTCAAAAGTTGATTGTAGAAGAGCTTCAAGAATATAACAACCAAGAAACATTCCTGGTACTTGATAATATTTAGTATGATCATTATTTCTATAAAGAACACTTGCTTCAATACAAGTATTAATCATTCCACACGAACAACCATTTCGTACAATTGATTCAGTAAATATAATATCTGCAGAATATCCTGCAATAGAAGGTTCCCAATAATAATGATCAGTTAATGCTGCTGATCCAAGTGCATTTGCATAAGTTGTACTTCGAATTAATTGAAATGATTGTAAAAATGTATTCATTATTGATGAAATAAATTGATTAACAAGAGAATCAATTTGAGATTTGAATAAATCTGTCGATGTTACTACAACACTTATATATTCATTAAAATAAAAATTCTTTAAATTTTCAAGAATTGTTTTATCAATCGATTCACATAAAAATATAATTCCTTGAAATATATATATACTATAACTTCGAAAATCATCACGATATATATTTGTAAATTGTGAATACATTAATTTTAACCAAATTTCATTGATAAAATCACTATAACATATTTGATGAAATTTATGTTATATTAACTAATTTATCATATTTTATTGACATTTTATTACATGGACATGTTAATCGTTCGGAATATTTTGAATATAATTCAGTATAATCTTCAATTGAGGGATTTTGGATATGAGTCGTTTGATTTATTTTAATCGATGATGTGTATAAAATAAGATTCAACATTCCAATAAATAATAAATAACGCTCGTCGGAGGTGACTCGCATTACCCTCGACTGAAAATATCACAATATATTATCAATTTGCTATTTGTTTTTCTTTGTTTCAGTTAAGAAAAATACTTTCTAATATAATATAAACTGTATTTATTTATTTCTATATGAAGTAAAGACACACTAATGATATAATGATCAGCTACACAAAGGAAAAGAAAAAACAAGTGAATATTGAATGTAAATGAATACAAATCGGACAAGCTAAACAAAAAATACATCTGCGAG